GCATTGTATTTACATTTTCTATATTTACAAAATGGATTTACTATAGGCAAAAATTATGAAAAAGATGAGCAGTAGCCTGGTCTAAAGAATTTTATAGCTCAGATATTCTTCCTTTATTTTTATAACTCTTGATTTTTCAATAATAAAACTTGAAAACGCAGATGATGTTAGATCACATTTTCCTATATAAACTTCATTAGGAAAATTTTCAATCTCTTTTTTGTTTTGGTTTGGTGCAATGTATTTTTATTTTGAGGAGGGAATATGTTGTCAGTTATTTTCTCATTTATTTTAGCATAAAGTTAACGAATAAAATCCAGAAAAATATGCAACAAAATGTATATCATAACTTTGAAAAGGAAATCAACTGTCCAGACAAGGTATTATAAAAATAATCTGATCTTTCTCAAGAAATCAAAGCAACACACTCATTAATACTTTGTACACATGGGAACCTCTTGAAAAGATATGAGCAGAAAGTAAGCTTGGTTTGGGAAACACATTGCAGTACAGGGAATTTGTAAGATATATTTTGACTAGCTGTCCATGGCAATGGCTCTATTTTTCCAAAAGCTTGAATAATGGTGACAAATGATGTTTTGCTTTTTCAGAAATTTTGGCAGAATTTCCATTTTTGAAATACTGTCCAGATGTCAAGGGTAGATATTTTTTAATTTTTGGTTCAAGTGTCCAATAAATTTGAAGCACCTGCATGGTTGGACACCCCTTTAAAACTTAGCATTTCCTGGTTAACCTTGAGTATCCCACACCTATCATGAGAATAGAAAAAGGCAGTGCCATGCATGAAGCATTTGACCTCATCTGTTATACACATGACCTTTTTTTCAAACCAAGCAGCCCATAGCCAAAAATGACCTGATGGAACCAAGAGCAGGAGAACTGCCCCCAGTGAAGAAGAAAAAGATCAAAGAAGACGAAAAGGTGAAGCCCAAGACGCCAGAACCAGATCCCACCCCAGTAGTCATGAGGAGACCCAGTCCCTTGCCCACACCCGAATCCATGGCCGGAACCCCTCCACCACTGCCCCCGAAACCCGCCTACATGCGGGACACCTCCGCTGGGATCCGGTTTTCGCCGGAAATGAGACGAAACCTGGTTCTTTCCCCTGGACCCAAAACACCTCCACCACCGATTCCTGAACGAATGCGGAAAACAGTGGAACCCGAACCTGAACCTGAACCAGAACCAGAACCCGAAATTCCAATGGAGGATGAAGGGATTGTGAATCCGGAACCGGAAGTGGAAGAGGAACCTGAGCCTGAGTCTGCACCGGAACCAAAACCCACCATCAGAACCCAGCAGTTGCCTACGAGGTACCAAAATTATGACGACAGAAAAATTACCACGTAAGTCCGTCTTTGTTCAAAATTATCATTTTTTAGCCAAACTTTTGGAGACTGTGGTTTTCATTTTACTTGTTTGAGGCAGGCCAGCTTTTGCATCTTATATTGAGGTCACATTTGTTTTTTCGAAATCCTTCTGATTGACAACAAATCAACTGTTATCATCACTATAGGAGACGTTTCGTGACTGATGTGTATGGTTTATGATGTCAGAAATTGCAGAGACTTACTTGCAAATGATGGTGTGGTGATTTTGAATAAGTTCGAGCAAAGTTATTTGCAATCAGTACTAAGACAAATCAAAGGATCTTCTGCCAAAAACAGTGTATTTCAAGAAACTTGGAGGGTGATTGAGAAATGCAAACTGATTCCAAATTTTTCTGACTCCTTGATTCAACTCAGCTAAGTAATTTGTCTCATTAGCTTTCATGATATACATGTCAGATGTTCAGTTGTATTTCATGTTGTATTGTATTTTCTTTTATTTTTGTTATCAATTTGTGCTTTTGTGCTCTGAAGTGATTAAATGTCATTGAGTGGATTTGGGTTGGGTGGGAAGGGGGTAGGGTTGTGGAAATCTTGATTGAACTTGTGAACGCTGAAAAGTGGCAAATAAAGTGTTCTGTTCATTCATTCATTCATTCATGAGATTTTGAGAAAATCAACTCATGGAGTTTGTTCATGGGTTTAAATTCTAGGGCAGCAGCTGGTGCCACTCTGGGACTTGGAGTAGTGGGCAAGTCATTTTCCAACAGAGCCTCAGCACTGGCTGATGAAGAATCAGACAGAGCATTTGCTAAACTCCCAGAGGCTCAGAAGAAGGAAGCTGCTTTGCCAATTGAAGTTTTTGGCATCAGAACAGTGAGGAATATTGTTCATGTCAACTCCTGTTTCACTTTTTACTATATTTGTGCATATACTCTCCAGAACACTCTAATTTCCTAGTCAAAATTCTGTCAAGAACAAAGATGATCAGAAGCTCCAGTAACAAAAAATTTGCTCAAGTACTTTGGCCAGATTAATTCTCATGTACAGTAGTTCAAAAAAGTATTATACTTGTAGTGACCAAAATCACACTCATTCCAGCAAGGGATAAGTTTAAAAGAAATTGTTGTCCTTTCAAACATGACAATGTATTTATGGAACCAAGGTGCAGCATTGCACAAATTTGTGGCTCTACATCAGGGCATGAGACACAATGATGAACAGTTCACTCATTTAACAAGTGCACATGCAGTTGTTTTCTGTTTCTTTTTTGTAGGTGTCAAAAATCTATGACAAGAGATTCAATCAGAAAGAGGCTGGCTACAAGGAAGTGAGGAAGTTTCTGGAAGAGTATGTTCACAAGAACAAGCCAAAGCCAGTGGAGGTACTCAGGGCCACTGGATTTGTTATCCACAAGGGTTTGAAAGACAATGTACTGGCCATTTTTTATGCTGTCACAGAGATCTTCACCCTTCTTTATAGCACTTTCCTGGACAATAATAAGTGAGCCAGCTTTCTTTACTTATCATTGAACAATAAATAAACCAATACCATACTTGAATGGAAATCTTTTCCAGGATCACCAAAAATGAACTAACAACTTCCCTGCAGAAAACAACTCCTGACATGTTGTCCAAGATTGCTTCTACTGTGCCAAGACAACAGAGTCTAGCTGTGGGGGCTACCATTGGTGCTGCCATCCATCCACAAGTAGCTGCCACTGGTGTGGTTGCCAAAGCTGTGACCAAGCCATTTCAGAAAAATGTTCAAGTCTCCACTGGTCAATGTAGAGCTGAAATGGCTGAACAGCTCATGGAACATCTTGGAGTACAGAAAGTTAAAGACAGGTGAGCAATAATCATGATTTTGCACTCAAAGGTGATACCTTTCCACCAATGAATCAATGAATGTGTTTGGTAAGTCAGTATGCTTTTTGATTACCTGTGTAAGCAAACAGTCAAAGCTATAGGTGAAATTTGTCCTACAGTATTTGATTTCAGGAATAGCAATCCTGAACATTGCCATGACTCTTATTTTTATCCTTTAGCAGGCTTAATTTTGCTACAACACACTTTTTTGGGACCCTAAATTGAGAATAATTTCACAGTTGAGAATGTGTAGTGAAATTCTGATGATTTTGTAGGTTTGCCCAAGTGCTTTGGGAATGGTTTCCTACATCTTGGATGTTTTTATGGTCTGGCCAAAGCATTCCAAAAAGGAAACCCTTTCAGGAAAATCAAATATTTGTTCCAAGAGATGTTTGAAAACGTTTCTGAAATAAATGAAAAATCTTAAACAAGAATTTGTTATAGAAATCATTCATTTTCCTTTAAATAGTGTTCTTTAACAATAACTCTGCCTATAAGTAGACCATCTTCAATTTACTCTGAGCTACTTCCACTTAAAATCAACTTGCTCTGGGTAAACTTCCAACTTAAACCAATGAATGTATTCACATTGCTGAGATTGGAAAAGGCTTTCCATCTCAAGTAGTATATAAATGGGGTTTAGGGATGACTTTGCATCATTTCAGCATTGGTCCTTTCATCTCTGAATATTGATAAGTTAAGAAGTTATCAGTTAGAAAAAAGTCAATGCATGGTATGTTATGGAAAATGAGGAGAAACTGCAATAATAGATACATGTATTGTTCTGATTGAAAGATTCATTTTACAGATGGCATATTGATCCTCTCTATCTCAACTTCAAAGTTTTTTTTTGTGCTGTAATGTGAAAATTGGATTAACTTAATTTTCAGTTCACCTATTCAGAGCACTTCTATTTCAAAAAATTATTTGGCTGAGTTAAAAGAAATGTAAACTGTTTCATATGCTCTGCAAAAAAGCTATCATTATTGCTGAACGCTGAATCACAATGTTTTTTCTGCTGGATTTATTTCAGTGGTTTGACAGCTGGAGAATTAATGGCATTTGCATCATCTGGCATCCAGCAACCTGCAGAGCAAATTAGGAAACCCTGTGAGCGGATTTATATGAGATT